GGTTGGTATGAGCAAAGTTTCAACAGTGATGAAATTTTCCCTTTTAGAATATTTACTTCTCAACTTCCCCTTGCCACCATGGTCTTTTGAAGGAAACAAGAGGCAGGAGTGATGGCAATTACCATTTGATGACACTGGCACCCAGCATTCAAAGATCCTTAAAGAGAGTTTTAATTTGATTTATATGCCGCCCTTCTCCGGAGACTCAGGGTGGCTTACAATGCGTTAAGCAACAGCCTTTATACTTTTGTATATTTATACAACGTCAGCTTATTGCCCCCACAAACTGGGTCCTCAGTTTACTTACCTTAGAAAGGATGGAAGGCTGAGTCAACCTTGAGCATGGTAAGATTCAAACTTACAGTAATTGCAGACAGCTGGATGTTAATTACAATGCATTAGTCTGCTGAGCTATCCAGGCTCCTCAGTATATTCTCAAAGAAATAATATAGAAACCTAATTCACATACCATGCTAAATCATATTTTTATTTGTTTCCCTGTGGAAGCTTGTAAATAATAGAACACACAGCTTAGCATAACTGTGAGTTCAGCCCATGTATGTTCACATATCACACTATATGACAATTTGTTCACTAAACCAGAATTAGCTAAGTTTCTTCACTGCATTAAACCATAAATATGATTTTATTAACTAGAATAGTTGGTTCATGTGAAACACAAAGAGCCAAAGTGCAATGTGCAAAATCCAGCCAATAAATATCTTCTTTGATGACTGATTTATAGGCGTGTTTATGAAGATATTATACATCTAGAAATCTGTGTGCATTAGTATGGATTATTTTAACTATTAACCTTATTCTAGCTGTCAGAAACTTCTGAATACCTCATAGCACAAATTTGTTTTGTAGACAAGACCGCAGTTCATAAGATATTGTAACATTAGCATAATTGGGTGCTAATAATTAGCATAATTGGGTAGGAAAAAATGTACAGTACAGGAGAAGGAATATAAAGAACAATAAAAATACCTTAATAACTCATGTTATCAGTCTAAAAAATATCTTTGTGATATTATCCTCATTAGTTATCCATCTATGGCTTTCTCGTTTTGTAAAAATTATTTTGAAATATTATAACATTCATTTCCATGTTTTATTATCTAGCCATTGGTAAAATAAATCCCATATCTTATAGTATTGTTTATGATAATATGAGAAATTGGATAATTTAGTTAAATTAGGAATATGTTAGGAATATGTTAGGAATAAGTTAGGAATATGGTGAGGAAGCACAAAAGACTTGTAACCGACCAACACACTGTTTGCAATTGTAATGGTTGATGGATTTATGTTTTATGTTTTGTTTTAAAATAATAATAGAAAAACCCTTAATAACATTTGTTATGTACCTGTTGGAATCAATCAACTAACAATCCAATTAACCCAGATCGGACTTATAAAATGTCTGCTGTAGCAATCTTGCCAAAATTCAAAATGTCCAATTTATAACAGAACAGCAAGGCAGCTTTTTAACATGGGTCAGTTGTTAAACTTTTAGCTGTAGCTAAAAGGGGGGAAAGCAAATGATCATCTCAGCAGAAATCTGCCCCAATTTAACTCCCCCAGGTCATTGCAGAAGCCTCTGGAGCACTGTTCTTAAAGTGTTTTTAACACAGTGTTTCTCAACCTTGGAAGCTTGAAGATGGGTGGACTTCCCAGAATCCCAGAATCCCCCAGCCAGCAGCGCTGGCTGGGCGATTCTGGGAGTTGAAGTCCACCCATCTTCAAGCTACGAAGGTTGAGAAACACTGGTTTAACACAATTACAGGTAGTCCTTGACTTACAACCACAACATTTCTGTTGTGAAGCATGACAGTTAAGTGAGTTTTACCCCATTTTAGGAGCTTTCTTGCCACAGTTGTTACATGAATCACGGCAGTTGTAAAGTTAGTAAAACAGCTGTTAAGCGAATCTGGCTTCCCCATTGACTTTGCTTGTCAGAAGGTCGCAAAAGGTGATCAAATGACTCTGGGACACTGCAACCGTCATAAATACATGCCAGTTGCCAAACGTCCAAATTTTGATCATGGAGGTGCTGCAATAGGTGAAAAATGGCCGTAAGACTCTTTTTTTCAGTGCTGTTGTAACTTCGAGATGGTTGTAAGTCGAGGACTACCTCTAGTCCTTTTCCTGGTCTTCAATAATGTTGTTAACCCACCCATCCATACACAAATATTTTGTTGTTTTACACAAGTGTCACAACAGCAGCTGCCCCCAACCAGATCAGAGGAGGGTTCTACATTTTTTAGTACCGGTTCTGTGGGCGTGGCTTATTTTGTGGGTGTGGATTGATGGTCATGTGACAATTATTTAGGATTTAGCAGAGGTCCTGGTCTACCAGGCTTTTAACTGCTTGCAGAGCTGTAGCGATCTACCCATTTATTTTTGCAGGCACTGATCTACTCATGTATTTTTGCAGGCGCTGGTCTACCCATTTATTTTTGCAGGCACCGGTCTACTCATTTGTTTGCTTTTAACACTGATCAGCTGTAGGGCGGCCCTTTGAAGCCCCAGGCAAGAGTTTAAACAGTTTTTATCCCTCTAGCCATCAGCTGGGACTCAGGAGGCAGCAATAGATTGGGGGTGGGGGCCAAATAAAAGGTAAGAATAACGCGGGGGTGGGGGTTGGCAGAACCGGTTCGGTGACATCATATTGTCACCGCTACCGGCTCGGCAGAACCGGGCCGAACTGGGAGGAACCCACCACTGAACCAGATCCTCTACAGCCTAAACCCAAAACAGCCATTTCAAAAGTTATTTATCCAGTTTTTAAAACCACCCATGTTCCTCACAGAGGCTCCATTACTCACAGGATATGCTCCAGACTAGAGCAAATATCCCAGGTTTGTCTGGCTGTTTTTAAGTAACCTTTGCTTACAATTGTTTACACTGCTTGCTTCCCAAGCTCCTTGGGAAGGTGGGGGAAGGTTCTTTATAATAAAGCTCAGAACATAAGTAATTTTGATAATAATGCCAGGAAGAGAGACGGTGGTGAAGGAGAAGAAAAAAGATTGGAAGCAGTGGCCAGGCCCATTTTATTTTTGTTTTCATTTGTTTAAATTCATTTTATATTTTCCATGCCACCCAGTCTAACAGAGAGGTCAGCCGCATTATATTTAATGTATTGTTACTATTGTTTTAATGAGTATATTTTGTAAGCCTCTCAGAGGTCGCTGGAATGGGAGGTTGCATTAGTAAAACTATTATGATTGCCTCAGTCAAGAGAAAAATCAATCATAACAGCTGGTTGGCTCAGCCTTCCATCCTTCCGAGGTGGGTAAAATAAGGACCCAGATTGTTGGGGACAATAAGGCTGTAAATCTCTTTGAGAGGGCTGTAAAGTACTGTGAAGTGGTATATAAATCTAAGTGCTATTGCCCTCCTTTCCTTCCTTCCTCCATCCTCCCTTCCTCAGCCTTCCACCCTTCCAAGTAAACTGAGGATCCAGATTGTTGGGGGCAAGAGGCTGACTTTGTAAACCGCTTAGAGAGAGCTATAAAGCACTGTGAAGCGGTAGATAAGTCTAAATGGTATTGCTATTGCGCTTCCTCCCTCCCTCCCTCCCTCCCTCCTTCAGTCTTCCCTCCTTCTGAAGTGGGTAAAATGAGGACCCAGATTGTTGGGGGCAAATAGGCTGACTCTGTAAACCGCTTAGAGAAGGCTGTAAAAGCACTGTAAAGCAGTATATAAGTCTAAGTGTCCTTCCTTCCTTCCTTCCTTCCTTCCTTCCTTCCTTCCTGTTAGAATACAGTATTGCAGGCTAACTCTGCCCACTGCCAAGAGTTCGATTCTCAATGGCTCAAGAGGTAGACTCAGCCTTCCATCCTTCTGAGATGGGTAAAATGAGGACCCAGATTTTGGGGGGCAATAGGCTGAATCTGTCAACCGCTTAGAGAGGGTTGCAAAGCACTGTAAAGCAGTATATAAGTTTAAGTGCTATTGTTATCCTTTCCCACATTCTTTCCCATCTGAAGCAGTATATAAGTAAGTACTATTTCTATTGCTATTTTTTCCCTCATAAAGCGGTATATAAGTCTAAGTGCTATTGCTATTCTTTCCCTCTTAAAGCGGTATTTAAGTGCTATTACTACTGCTATTCTTTCTCACATGAAGCGATATATAAGTCTAAGTGCTACTGCTATTGCTATTCTTTCCCTCATAAAACAGTATTTAAGTCTAAGTGATATCGATATTGATATTCTTTCCCACATGAAGCAGTATGTAAGTCTACGTGTCCTTCCTTCCTCCCTTCCTTCCTGTTAGAATACAGTATTGCAGGCTAACTCTGCCCACTGCCAAGAGTTCGATTCTCAATGGCTCAAGCGGTTGTTGACTCAGCCTTCCATCCTTCCGAGGTGGGTAAAATGAGGACCCAGATTGTTGGGAGCAAGAGGCTGACTCTGTAAACCGTTTAGAAAGGGCTGTAAAAGCACTGTGAAGTGGTATATAAGTCTAAGTGCTATTCCTTCCTTCCTTCCTCCCCTCCCCTCCCTCCCTTCCTTGCCAGTTCAATTCTCACTGGCTCAAGAGGTTGACTCAGCCTTCCATCCTCCCGAGGTGGGTAAAATGAGGACCCAGATTGTTGGGGGCGAGAGGCTGATTCTGTCAACCGCCTAGAGAGGGCTAATGTGAAGCGGTATATACGTCTAAGTGCTATTGCTCCTCCCCTCCTGCTGCTGGGGATGATGGGGGCTGTAGTCCAGCGCTCCCGAAGACTGCCGGGGCGAGATCCAGGCCAGTCGGCGCGGGGCAGCGGCCCTTCGTGCGACGCCAGGCAGCCTTCCCATCCCCTCAGCGGCTCCCCGCATCTCCCAAGAGGGAGGCGCGGCAGGGATGCCTCCCACCACCCCGAGTGCCAAGGAACGGGAGGGGGCGGGAGAGGGAGAGAGAGAGAGAACTCTGCCGGCAAGGCAGGTAGGCAGCCCGCCCGCCCGCCCGGGGAACGGCGACCGCGCGGCCCCAAAAACGGCCCCGGATACCTGAGAGTCCCTGAATTCCACCACCACATTCTCGCTACTCCAGCGCGCCGCCATCTTGGCTGCCCTGGAGGCGGCGGCGCGACGGCGGGCAGGAAGTCGTCGCGCTCGGAGCGCAGGGCCTGCCGGGAGACGTAGTTCTCGACGCTTAAAGGAGCCGGAGCTACGTAAGAGGCCGACCTCCGTTTCTTCCATCAGGGTTGGACTTCAACTCCCAGACTCTCCCCTCGCCTGGCTAGGAACCCTGGGAGTCGTGGTGCGACGTCGGTTTGTTTTGATCTTTCTTAAGGCAGCGTGCCTCCCTGTTGCCCCCCCCCACCCTCTTCTTCTTTTTCTTTCTTTCCTTGCATACCTTTGTCATTGGGTTTGCACAACAGGCTAAGTCACACACACACACACACACACACACAAATCCCTCTCTTGTAAATTGAAACAAAGCTTACCGTGCTTATGAGTGCACACACTGTATTCTTGCCTGAGTTATGCAACTTTGTGTGAACATAATGTTGAAGGAGGTGGAGATTTATTTATTTATTTATTTATTTATTTTTTCATTCATTCATTCATTTATTTATTTATTTATTGGTTCGATTTATATGCCGCCCTTCTCCGGAGACTCAGGATGGCTTATAATGCGTTAAGCGATAGCCTTCATACTTTTGTATATACCTGTTCAAAGGATTAGATTAGAGGACTGCAAAGTGGCTGTTTTCGTTAATCTATATCACTATTTAGTATATGCATATTTACTAATACGTATTTACATTATAGAGACAGGACAGCCATTTATCTGAAATGGGGTTTCCTCCTTGAGCAGGGGGTTGGACTCAGTGGTGGGATTCAAGTAATTTAACAACCGGTTCTGTGCCCTAATGATTTCTTTCAACAACCAGTTTGCCAAACTGCTCAAAAAAATAACAACCGGTTCTCCTAAAGTGGTGCGAACTGGCTGAATCCCACCACTGGTTGGACTAGAAGACATCCAGGATCCTTTCCAACTCTTATTATTTCTATGTAAACAAACTCCAAATCAATCAATCAATCCAAAATAGACATTGGAGGCAGTGAGTCACCTGGATCACCTTTGAGTTTCAGAAGTGGATCTGAATTAAGCTATACCAACTGTGTTGTTTCCATCTCTGGAAGGAACTTATCCACGCCACTGCTGTGTTTTTGCACAATTCTTCTGGACATGTTTCCTAATGATGATGCATATCTCTACTCATACAAAGACTGGGAAGGGATCTGTCAACCCTCTATTCAAGTTTAGAATAAGGATTTTAGTCAATCTTTACCTATGTGAGATATGAATCTCTTTCCATTCCTGATTAGATAGCACAGTATAACTTTGGCTGAAAGTTCACAACTGCCACCTCAATTACATCACCCAAGTTAATCACACAAAAGATGAAGGGTGTTGTAAATGACATGTCTCCAGGAGCTTTATTCCAAACAAATATCCCTGGGCCTACTCCTAAATAAAATCAGGTTCTTACAAGTTGGGAAAAAACTCTCCTGGCTGCCTACTGATCAGCAAGTGTCCCATCCCAAGGAGTTCCTGGAGTTTGTACCATCACATTTCAAAAGCTCCTATGTCTGGAATTGTCTGAAAGAGCACAAATAAAATGGATGCAAGCATATTCTCTTCTCGGCGGACAGTGCTCAAAATTTTAGAACCCCTTACCTGAAATTGGTGTTAAGGCTTGTGCAGCCCACTGTAAAAAATTGGTTGAAAACTGGTTCTGTTTTCTACCGTTTTCTACCGTTTTTTGTCCATTTTTGTCTTTCTTTTACAATCCCAGAACTCCCCAGACTGTATTGTCAAAGTCTGACTTGGCATCACACCCTCAAAATGTGGAAGTATGATTTATCTTGATAGTGGGGTTTTTTTTAGGAGTGCAAAGGAATTACATTGGGTGAATTAACATACTAGCCTGGTGCAAAATCTTGAAAAGAATGGAACCTAGAATAAGATTCTTATTTCAGAAGTAGGGAGTGATGGCCACCTGTCCAGAAGATAACAGAACACCAAACAGAATGCAAAGTATCTGGAGCAAAGTCAGGATTCATTATGCACAAATGTTTCCACTTCAAACACCCTTGGACAAAGGAAGACACCCCTTTAGGTGTTATTCATCAACAGGCAACATATCTCAATTTTAGTGTATAAAAGAATAAAGTGCTAGTTTATTGTATTTGTGTGCATGTTGAACATTAGCAAGAAAAAAAAACCATGTACCACAATCAAGTGACTTAAAGGTTTCAATCAGAATAGAGCTGGAAGAGACCTTGGAGGTCTTCTAGTCCAACCCCATGCTCAAGCAGAAGACCCTATACCAGTGATGGCGAACCTATGGCACGCATGCCACAGGTGGCATGTGGAGCCATTATCTGTGGGCACACGAGCGTTGCCCTAGCTCAGCTCCAGCGTGCATATGCGTGCTGGCTAGCTGATTTTCGGGCCTTCTGGGCCCACTGGAAGTTGGGAAATGGGCCGTTTCCGGCCTCTGGAGGGGTGGGGAAGGCCATTTTCATCCTCCCCAGGCTCCAAGAAAGCCTCTGGAGCCTGGGGAGGGCGAAAAACAGGCTTTCCGGTCCCACTGGAAGTTGGGAAATGAGTCGTTTCTGGCCTCTGGAGGGTGTCGGGGGGGAAGGCTGTTTTCTCCTTCCCCAGGCTCCAAGAAAGCCTCTGGAGCCTGGGGAGGGCGTAAAACGGGCCTACCAGGCCCACTGGTAACCTTTTTGCCGTCGCGTGCCAAAAGTGGGGGGACCGCGGGGGGTCGCATGCACGGGCATGGGGAACATTGAATTATGGGTGTGGGCATGTGCACGCACGCGACCCCCCATTCCCCCCGCTTTTGGCACACGACAGCCAAAAGGTTAGCAATCACTGCCCTATACCATTTCAGACAAGTGTCGGTCCAGTCTCTTCTTAAAGACCTCCAGAGAGGTCTTTTGTAGGCTTCTGTTTTTGCCTGCCAAAGAGTCCTCTGCACCAATGGATTATATCTGCTTCTTTAGCCTGTCTCATATTCTTCTCTCCCCCAGGGGTTAGGGCCTAACCCATTTTATGGGTATCAACTGATCGTTGGCAGTTGTCTCTGGAAATGTATGTACTCAAGTTGTGAGATTCATGCATCAGGAGGCAGCGACATTTTTAAGATGAGATTTTAACATAACCGATGATAAAAATGGAACAAGAGCCGATTCATATTTTGTGCCAAATCAAAATCTGTTAACCATGGTTTATTAAACTACAAATGGCAAGTCATTGATGAAATTGATAAATCATGCAAGCCACAAAGTAGAAAACCTGTAATTGTGGTTTGTCCTCTTTCCAAAAATGTATCTCCTGAGGTTGTTGTAAAGATAAAATCAAGTGTGAGATGAAGAAATATTGCTCTTCGCAGCAGAACGTAAATGTGCTGAAGACATACACGTCATGTAACCCTAACAGTTTTCAAGGTTATTCAATACATCTTTGATCCAAAACTAAGTTTCACTATGTTCTCTCTATTAGGGCTTCATTTGATGCATCCTGTAATGGAGCCTGTACAGATAGTCCTTGACTTACGACTACAATTGAGCCCTAAATTGTTGTTGTTAAGTGAAACATTTAAGCGAATTTTGCCCCATTTTATGACCTTCCCTGCCACAGCTGTTAAGTGAATCACTGGGGTTGTTAAATGAGTAACACGGTTGTTAAGTGAATTTGGCTTCCCCGTTGACTTGTCAGTTGGAAGGTCGCAAAATATGAACACAGGATCCCCCGACACTGCAACCGTCATAAAAATGAGTCCGTTGCTGAGCACCAGAATGTTGATCATGCGACCACGGGCATGTTGCAACGGTCATTAAGTGTGAAAAACATTTGCAGGTCACTTTTTCCAGTCTGCTTGTTAACTTTGAACGGTCCCTAAACAAAGTGTTGTAAATCGAGGACTCCCACTATGAGAGGGCGCAACGTGCTAATCCATAAACCCCGATTAGCCATGGGGCCTGCATGCCCCCATTCCCTCCAGCCCCAGACAGACCCTAGTTTCCACCCCACAAGCCAAGATGTGCAATGTGGTGCACATTGGTGGCGCAGCAGACTAAAGCACTGTTAAGTAACACCAGCTGCCTGCAATTACTGCGAGTTCAAATCTCACCAGGCTCAAGGTTGACTCAGCCTTCCATCCTTTCGAGGTAGGTGAAATGAGGACCCGGATTGTGGGGGCAATAAGCTGACTTTGTATAAAAAAGAACACCGCTTGGGGGGGCCAAAAAGCCCTACTAAGCAGGTATATATTGCTTAAGGCATTGTAAGCCGCCCTGAGTCTCCAGAGAAGGGTGGCATATAAAAATAAATAAAAATAAAAAATAAATAAATAAAAATATACAAAAGTATGAAGGCTATTGAGTTTCCGGAGAAGGGCGGCATATAAATCGAACCAATAAATAAAGAAATAAAGAAATCCCTGCAAGCTGACCAGGCAAACCGGGGTCCAGTCAGTCCAGCCCTTGGAAGCTATCCGGCGGGGGCTCTGCTGATCGACGCCCGAGTTCAGAAAGCGCTCCGGGAGCGTTAACGGAAAAGGCCGGGGACCGTCGGTTAAGCCGTTCCAGGGCTGGCTCCCAGCCTCGGCATCATCCCCGCCTTCGACTGCCCGTTGGCCGGGCAAGCTCGGCAGGGGCCGGGGCGGCCTTCTCCAGCCACAGGAGCCTGGCCGGGGCAGGGGACACAGGCGCGCCCTCCCTCCTTCCCTTCCTCCGTCCGTCGGTCCCTCCCCGTCGCCCGCTCAGCCTCGCTGCATCCCGCGGCGGCGGCGGAGAAACGGGGCGGGGGGGGGGCGGAGAGGAGGAGACGGGGAAGCCGCGGCGCAGGCGCTGTACGCGGCTCTATTGTCTGGGCTCTGGGAGCCCTCGGGAAGCCCGGCTGGGGGACGGCCGGGGACGCGCCAGCACCAGCCCAGCCTGCCCGGCGCCCTTAAGAGCCCCGACGGGTAGACGGAGCGAGCCTCCCTCCTGCTTGGCCCCCGGACACCGCTCGCCCGTCTGTCCTGCGCTCGCATGCGGAGTGGGGCTCGGGGAGCCTCGCTCTTCTTCCTCCGCCGCCGCCGCCGCCTTCCGTAGGGCGGGACCCCCCAGCCGCCCCCGCCGTGGATGAGCCCGGGAGGCGCGGCGGGCCGCCCGTTGGGGCGAGGCAGCGGCGGCGGCCGCTGCTGCTGCACGGAGAGGCGGAGACCGGGAGCGGGGCCGGCAGCGCCGCTGCTGCCCGCCGCACGATGCCCGGCGCCGCCGGGGGTGGCTTGAGCGCCTAGTGGCCCCGGCGGCTCCCTGGCTGCCATGGGGGGCAAGCAGAGCACGGCGGGCGCCACGGCCGCGGGGCGCTCGCGAGGAGGAGGCGGCGGCGGCGGCGGAGGAGGAGGCCCCGTGGCCGGAGACGACAGCGCGGGGCCGCCGCCCGGGGGAGGCGCCCCGCACTTCGGACACTACCGCGGCGCGGGCGGCGGAGGAAGCGGAGGAGGAGGAGGAGGAGGAGGAGGAGGAAGCGGCGGCGGGAGCTCGGCGATGGGGCTGCGCAGCCGCTCCGTCAGCTCCGTGGCCGGCGTGGGCGTGGGGATGGGCGGCGTGGAGCCGGCCGGCGCCGGCAGCGTCCCCTTCGGCCTGTACGCAGCGGCGGCGGCGGCGGCCAGCACCACCACCACCTCCACCTCCACCACGAGCAGCAGCGCGGCTTCGGCAGCGGCGGCGTCTTCGGGCGACTCGGAGCGGGGTCCAGGCGGCGGGTCGGGCGCGGACTCCGCCCCTTACGGCCATGGCAACGGTTACCAGGAGACGGGAGGAGGCGGTCACCACAGAGACGGGATGCTGTACCTGGGCTCCAGGGCCTCGCTGGCCGATGCACTACCTCTGCACCTCGGACCCCGGTGGTTCAGTTCACACAGCGGTGAGTGGACGGACTCCAGAGGGGGTGACCTGGCCAGGCGCTCTGGGGAGATGCGGCTTCTAGAGGCCTAAAGTCCAGTCCCGGTGCTGGGTTCGAATCAGGAGCCAAAGGCCAGCAGGCCGGGTGGGGAACAAATAGCCCTTGAGCAGTCTTGGGATGTGGGAAAAGGATGGGCTGGACCCATTGACTGAGGTCAGCTTTACTGATCGCCAGCGGTTGAGTTAGCTGGTGGTTGTATAAAGTGCCGATGTGTGGATTTTATGTAAATTGCAATATAGTATTTTCTACCTATGTACAATTTTAATCGACTATAGTCCATATAGATTGGAGCTAAAAAATATAAAACACATGAACTGTGAGTTTGACGGAGTGGTTTCCACCACTGCTCTCGTTGCCGTTTTGCACTTCAGTCTAGTCGTGTGCCAGCTGTGTGTCTTGGATGTTTTGGTTTTTTTGGTCTATGACTGCAAATAGCCCTTGAAATCTCAGAAGGCAGAACGGTAAACCTGCTGGTCAAGGTGTAGTAGTGTTGGGGGTTAAAAGGCCCTCGCGGCTTCCTTCACACGTGCCCTGTTACTCTGGGTCAGGCTTCTGTGCGTGCAGGATAAAGTTGGGTTAAGCCAACCTCTTACGTGTTCAGGACGGTGTTGTGCGTGTCCAAAAATGGGTAAATACAGTAACCGATTACAGTTTGTTGAGCTGACAATTCTATGCTGTAAGTAAGAGGTCCTTGAGGTGTTCAGAGATTTTATTATAAAAACCATGTGCTGGGAATTAGTTGACTTCGTTGATCTTCTCTTTCCTACTTAGCAAGGGAGGAAGTGCTTACTCTAGCAAGCATCCTGAGCTCTGGATTTGGACTAAGCCTGACACAACTTTGCTCTTCATATATGGCCTGGGTAGCGTTTTTGCCTTGTTTGTTTCTGTGGTACATGAAACCAGGGGGCTTGTGCCACTCTTCAGAGAATATTGTGCTCTTGAAGTGACATTCTGGCTAGGTTTGAACTACAGGCCAGGCTAAAATGTGGCAGTGGGGTGATACGTTGTATGTATCTAGATATGTACCATATGGGAATGTAGGCAGTTGGAGTAAACGCCATCTAAAATATTAGCCAAACAGATCCCTTGTCTTCCCAGACGAGGTTAGCTGGGGACAGAGTAAGAAGGGGGTAAGAATGGAGGGTGGACAAAAACTTTGCCAGCTGCTTGTAAATACCTGGAGTAATTTGATTAGTTAGTTCACGCCCTGGAGCCTCCCAGGACTTATTTTCTTTGTTTAATTTTGCTTTAGCTGTTGATTTTAGATCAAAGGTAGGCAATTAATTTCCCCAGATGGCCACATCAGAAACTGGGACTGTTGTGGAATGCCAAACCAATAAGGCTGTGAAGGTACATAGATATGCACACACGTAGGTAAATTGGGGGAAACATAGTTACCTTCAAAATAATAGCAATCCATGTATCCCAAAGGTGCTTTTTCAGGAGGCAACTGGACTTTCTTTTTTTTTATTTTGAAGATGTTTCGCTTCTCATCCAAGAGGCTTCTTCAGCTCTTGACAGGATAGTGGGGAATGGAAGAATTTCCTCCAAGTACTTCAACGACCCTCTAAAAGGATGCAAATGACCAGCTGTCTGCAAGGAATATAAATCCTTCCATTACCCGCTATCCTGTTAGAGCGGAAGAAGCTTCTTGGATGAGAAGTGAAACGTCTTCAAAAGAAAAAACAAGCAAATCCAGTTGCCTCCTGAAAAAGCACCTTTGGGACAACCGTGACCTGGATGACTGAGAATCTCTACAGACTTTTAGCAATCCATGTGGGCTGGACAGAGGCAGCCGAAGGTCTGGATGTGGCCCAGAGGCCGTAAAATGCCAAGGTTTGGTTTAGATGCATCTAAAAGCATCACTATAAGGCTCTCCTACCACCATGGCTCCTTTCTTTTTCCTTTTAGTACAGGGGTGAGAAACCAGGTCCAGTCTCAAGATTTCTGCATTGTAGTTCCCTAGATTCTTACCATTGGCCAAAATCATAATAGAACAGCTTTCAAAGGCACTACGTCCCTGCTACTATTAAAACCAGAAAGATAACACGAAAGTATATTTCCCATTACTCAGTAACTTGGGGGTGTCATTCTCTCTGATTTGGTCTCCTTCTAGACAGGTGAACTTCAACTTTCAGAATTCTCATTTGTGGTCCTACAGTGGAATTCTGGGAGTTGAAGTCCACATATCTTACAATTGAGAAAGGCTAAATTGAGTTGGTGTAAAAGAATGTCAAATTAGGCAGGGTGGATTTGATTTAAATCGAGTTGATTTAAATCACAATTTAAATCATGATTTAAATCACTAGTAAAAAGGCTTGATTTAAATCAACTCGATTTAAATCATAATTTTTAAAGAGCAACTGTCATCTCTGCTACTCCTTTGGCCCTCTGTTGACTCACCGATAGTCCCAGTGTTGCAGAATATACAGCCTCATGCTACATAACTAAGCTCCATTTCATGCTGAATAAACTAAATTATTTATGTATCTTAAATAGAAAACTATCTTACGATAGATTTTTACCCCAAAAGTTTTTTATTAAAATAAATTCAATAAAAATAAAAAAAATCCGATTTAAATAAAAAAAATCCGATTTTTTTGATTTTTTAAAAAAAATCATTGATTTTTATCCACCCTGGAATTAGGTAAGATTGGGTCTCCTAGATCCCATGGAAAGCATTATGAGTTTTAGGAAGTCTTGTTTTTTTGTTCTGGTGAGAGAATGAAAAAGGTTAATACTGTGGAACATCACATTGGCTTACCGAAAGTATACTCGTTTCTGAGGGGGGGAAATGGAGGGATTTCCCCAGCAAACTCATTAGGAGGAAGTTAACAGAAAAAAATATTTCAGACAGAGAATGGGATACGTTTTTTTAGCTTAGGCCTCTGGTAGTCAGTTCCCGAAATTGACTTTGGGGATGCCCCCAGGAGCATGCCTGGAAATGCTGCCAAGAATCTCCATTGGTTGGGTTGCAGGGAAAAAGTATGCTCAAATTAAGCAGTATCCCCAAGCAAAGCAATTTATAACTTAGTTTTGGCAGGAAGTAGAGGAAATAATGTTCTTTTTGCCAGCCAATTGTGCTTCCTTTATCTGTCCAACAGTTCCTTAATTGATTAACTTTTCAATTACACTGGATTATATCAGCAAATGTGAGATACTGTAGCTCATTTTCCCTCAAACTTATTTCCTGCTCTGTTCAGTTCAAGTACGAAGGTTTTGTTTTGCTTCCAGTTCTGTGACTTACAAGAATTGCATTGGCTGCCCCAAGTTAGAGGTGTGAAATTGCTCTGCCGTTGAATTGTTTGCACTCTCCGGTAGGGACTTCTGTATTTTGGTTTTGCTCAGCTTTCCTTTTTATTTAAATGGAGTAGACGTCTTGTGTGCATATTTGTGTGTGTTCTGTGTTCATGTGTATGAGTGTATTGTGTGGATAGGGTGTTCCATGCCAGTTATATTCAATTTAGCTTTGAAGATTCAGTGCATTAAAGTGAGCTATCACATCAAACTAATGCAAGCCAGTAGATATAAAAGCCTTCTGCAGAGATGCAAAATCTTTTTTGTCCAATTCACTAGGACAGGAGTCTGCAACCTTAAATACTCAAAGAGCCATTTGGATTCGTTTCCCACAGAAAAGAAAACACCGGGAGCCACAAAACCAGAGTGGGTGTGGCCAACTCGATGTCACTCACTTCCACCAGTCACATGTCCCTCTAGCTATGCCTACCCAGCCGGTCATTAGGGCAGAGAACCAGTTGTTAAAAAACACTGGGAATCACAAAACCCTTTTGACATGTTTCTCTCTGCCCTCCCTTCTTCTCTCCCCCCCTCTCTCTGTATCTCTCTGTCTCTGCCCTGGCCGCTTCTCCATCCCCTGCTGTAGCCCTTACCTTCTCAGGCCAGGCGAGGAGTGACTGGGAGGGGAGGGCGAGGGGCAGGGCCAGCCAGTGGTGGGATCACCTGACAGGGAGCCACAGCAGAGGCCCCAAAGAGCCGCATGTGGCTCCAGAGCCGCAGGTTGCTGACCTCTGCATTAGGACTTCCATCTTAACTCAAGTCATAAGTCTACACCGACAGACCAATCTGGATGTTTACATTTTTAACAGTTCTAATTCAGTTGATTGCATTTTCAGATCAATTTTATAAAACATTTTGGATGGATTTGTATGAACCAGGGTGGATAAAAATCAATGATTTTTTAAAAAAATTTTTAAAAAATCAGATTTTTTTTATTTAAATCAGATTTTTTTAATTTAAATCGGATTTTTTTGATTTTTATCGAATTTATTTTAATAAAAAACGTTTGGGGTAAAAATCTATCGTAAGATAGTTTTCTATTTAAGATACATAAATAATTTAGTTTATTCAGCATGAAATGGAGCTTAGTTATGTAGCATGAGGCTATGTATTCTGCAACACTGGGACTCTCGGTGAGTCAACAGTGGGTCAAAGGAGTAGCAGAGATGACAGTTGCTCTTTAAAAATTATGATTTAAATTGAGTTGATTTAAATCAAGCCTTTTTACTAGTGATTTAAATCATGATTTAAATTGTGATTTAAATCAACTCGATTTAAATCAAATCCACCCTGGTATGAACAAATCCAGTTAGCAATTCTTCAAGCCTTCTTGACTTCAGTTTTACCTCTACCATGCTAAAGAGCTGTTTTGTCTTCTGGAATTTTGAATGGTGTTCCAGCTGCTTCTCATGCCTAGTTTGTGTTTCACTTACTCCCACCTACATAGGAGCTGCATTGCTACCATAACTTTGACTCAGAATGATGCACCGCTTCAATATTGATTGATGCATTTTGAGGCTAATGTTCTTCAAACTAACCTCCAAGGGTAAATCCCTGTATGTTTTGCAAAATCATTGGTTACTGATGTGGTGCCTTCGTCCCTTGACACTGTGGTGGTGACTCTGGTAGCACTAATTAAAAATCCATGTCTTCGGTGTCCAGAT